TTTTTATGGCAGAATAGTATTCCATTGTGTATATATATCACATTTTCCTTATCCAGTCATCTGACAATGGGCATTTAGGTTGTTTCCAACTATTGGCTATTGTAAATAGAACTGCAATAAACATGGAGGTGTAGGTATCCCTTCAATGTTATAATTTCCATTTCTTTGAGTATATACTCAGTAGTAGAATTGCTGGATCATATGGCAGTTCTTCCTATAGTTGTTTGAGGAACTTCCATACTGTTTTCCATAATGACTGCACCAATTTACAGTCCCACCAACAGTATAGAAGGGTTTCCTTTTCTCTGTATCCTCACCAGTGTTTAGTTATTCTCTTTCGTTTTGATAATAGTCGATGTAACTGGAGTGAGATGATATCCCATTGTGGTTTTGATTTGCTGAGTGATGTTGAGCATTTTTGCATTTGTGNTGCCTTTGTAGTCTATTGATAGTGTTTTTTGATGCGGAAATTTTTAAAATTTTCACGAAGTTCAATTTGTCTGTTTTTTCTTTTTTACCTATGACTTTGTTGTAACATTCAAGAAATCATTTTCAAATCCAATGTTGTGAACATTTTGCCCTACATTTTCTTCTACAAATTTTATGGTTTTAGGTCTTATATTAGGTACTCTATCCATTTTGAGTTAATTTTTGTACAGGGTATTAGGTAAAGCTCTAGATTCATTATTTTGCATATGGACATCAAGTCTTGCAGCACCATTTGTTGAAAAGATTGTTCTTTTCCCAGTGAATAGCCTAGGTACCCTTGTCAAAAATTATTCAAATTATAGAGTAGATTTTAATAGTTCTCTCTTTTTAAAAAATTGATCAATTAACTAATTATTATTATTATTATACAATATAAATATACATATGCACATAGTTGTGCATATCTGTGAGGTACAGAATTGAACATCAATACCTGTGTACAATATCTGATACTCAAAAAAGGACAATTAGTATATTCAACATTAAAAAATGTAATCATTTCTCATGGACCTTTACCAGTTCCTCCCTTAACCATCCCTTCCCACCTCTGTTAACATCAGTCTGTTCCCTGCTTTTATTCACTTATTTATTTTTTTCTGACTGGTAAGGGGATCGTAACCCTCGGCATGGTGTGGTCTGCACCACGCTCAGCCAGTGAGCGCACTGGCCATCCCTATATAGGATCCGAACCCACGGCCTCAGCGCTACCAGTGCCACACTCTCCGAGTGAGCCACAGGGCCGGCCCTGTTCTCTCCTTTTTAAAGTTCAGAATATTATTGTGATTGCTGTATCTTTTTGTTGTTTGTTTGCTTGTTTGTTTATTTATTTATTTTAGCTCCCACTTATGAGTGAGGACATTTCTTTGCCTGGCTTGTTTCACTTAACATGATTTTCTCTAAGTTCATCCATGTTGCTGCAAATGGCAAAATTTCATTCTTTTTTATGGCAGAATAGTATTCCATTGTGTATATATATCACATTTTCCTTATCCAGTCATCTGACAATGGGCATTTAGGTTGTTTCCAACTATTGGCTATTGTAAATAGAACTGCAATAAACATGGAGGTGTAGGTATCCCTTCAATGTTATAATTTCCATTTCTTTGAGTATATACTCA